TTGTGTGTCTCATTTAACTTTTTTAAAACTTGTTGAAACTAAAGCTCTTACACTAACTAAAGGGGACTTTAGTCAGCTTCTCTGCTCCAGACTTTTCGGACTGACTGTGAAAGGAAGTTGCCAACCCCCGCCCCTTGCTGATGTGCCAGTATATCAGACATCCTGCGCACAGCGAAACAGAACGGAATGAAGAAAAATAAATAAATGTAATGGCAACGCTAATGAACGACCACCCCACGAAACTCCTCTTTTCCGACCTCCCGAACAGCGGACATGACCATAAACTTTGCTGCCTTTGCTTGGCTCTTTTGCGCCTCGCATAAAGTTGATTTCGAGTTGGGGGGGAGAAAAAAAGCCAAGCGCGATTCGGGCAAAAAAGTTTAGCACTCGACGCCCGACTTGGCCAAAGGAGCAGGATCCCAGGATCCCAGTTTTCCAGGATCCTGGCCACCCTGTTTACGCACGTCTTTTGGTCTCTGCATCAAATGAAATGCTGCGAGTTGAATAGCACAAGATGGAGATGAACAGGGAGACAAGGGGGCAAATCATGACTGAAGTGCAAAACTTTTCCCATTATGCAATAAATAAATTTCCATGCTTTAAAGTGGCAATCGGAGGGGTGGGGGGAGGGGCCAACGAGCGATGTGGCAGCGACAAACGTAATTACTTATACGCCATGGAGCACGTCGTACACTCGATGGCGAATGAAGCAGGCAGGGCACCTTGTAATGGGCATATCAGCGCAGTTCAAACAGCGCCAAATTGAATAAGTAAACAACGGCGCCCCAGAGCCAGGGACCTCCTTTCCTGACCAAATGCAGATGTTTGTTTCCTACAGAGAGCGAAATAAGAGGGTTCTAAAGTCAATAGGAGTCATTAAGTAAAATCACTAGCTAGAAAATAGGTTTATAAATCAGAGCTTGTACCTTTCTTCTTTTATTACAAACAATTATTAGCCCCCAAAAAAAACAATTCTAAATATTTAATTTAGCTATCCCAAGAACATTTATTTTAAACCATTTTACCATAACTATAAAACAAAAAACATATTGAAAACCTAATTTTTTGAATTCATTGCTAACCAATCTTCTGTATTTATAAAAAAATAGTATATCAAATGTCGATTTTTTATTTTTGTTAGAATACAACTTGATGGAGTCTTCCATAAAAATGATTAAAATCAACTTATGTATTTAATTTAGATTTAAATAAAATGGAGAGCACTCAGGTATGTTTTAGGTTAACTCAGAATTGCCAGATGATATGTCCTTGGATGTCTCTGCCTTGCTGGCTTTGGTAACATAAGTCCTTGGTATTTGTATAAAATATTCAATTTCTTTGCACCGTGCAGGCGATGCGGGTGAATGGACACTTATTTTTTAAAACTCAAACATTTTTCAGACAGCGCAGGCCAACAAAAGAGCTCGGGACTTTGGCAGGATATTGATTTTCCCGGCTAAGCTGCGTCTTATGCCCCACACAAGGACGAAAAGGAGCACTCGCTGGCGAAGGACCCACCAATACCTAAACGGTCGTTCTGACGAGTCCATTGAACTATTTGCCGCTGTGCCCCGAATGTCCTTATTAAAAGGCGGCCCTCCTGCTGCTCGTGGCCGCCTGTCGATATCTGAAAACTAATAAAAAGGGTTCGTGCATTGGCAACACTTTGGCAACTTTTTCGTTGTTCAAATTGATACTCGAGTGCTGGTCAAGGAGTGGCGGGGGTGAAGGGAAACAAGATTTCTGATTGCGCTTTAATGGGACCTAATGGCCGGCGACAAGTGTGGCAAATTACTTAAATGCTCGCTACGAAATAATGAACACCCAGTACTGGGAAAAATGTTTAGGGTTCCGCCTTCCGGGGCCTTTCGAATTGGTTAACCATTTTCTGACCGCGCGACTTCCACAAAATTTTGCTACATTTTATTCAAATGCGAAACTTTAAGTCCCCCGTATTTGCAGTATGGAAATATTTTAATTTCTCCGGCTTTGCACTTAAACTTTCAGCTTCTTTCCGCTTGGCAATTCCACAACCCCCTTTTTCTGGGCCAGAAGTTTGGCCGTAAGAAAACAAAAAGCAGCCCGCATAGTTATTAAAAGAGAAGTAACAACGAGACAAAAAGAGGGACGGCAAAGTTGTCTCTGCCAGAGTATTTTACTTTTTTATTTTCGCTGGGAAAAAGGGGCCTCTCATATACCAGTACTTATTTTTTATCGCAAGCGCAAAAATGCAAACAATTTTCAACTTTAACTGCAAGCTTGCTATTTCTTCGTCGCTCTCAGCCATCTCGACTCCGGCATTTTTGCCAAGCAAATTGAAAATGCATTCGTGCACGGAGCCTGAGACCTTAAAGCGATTCGATGCGATGGAGTTCAGATCATGCCGACTGCTCGAATATTCGGAAATGCGAATTTCATGCATTTAAATGGAAACGTAAATTCGCATTGTTTTTTCATTCGGTTTTTCTGTTTTTTTCTGTTTTTTCCTCCTTTTCAATTTGAATTATTTTTGCCGGGCCATCCAATTTCAGGAGAAGTGCCACGTCTCGCACTGCCCAACCCGAAGAGCTGTAAAAATAAATCAACAACTGGGTCAATTTTAACGCTTCACTGCCAATGGAGTGTAAAAACCCTACAGAAAAACAAAAACAAGAGCCAAGAACAAAGCGTCACCAGGATGTGGGTGAGTGGTGCATAGAGGTGTGATGAGTGGTGCACCTTCTGGCGAAGCCCTGCATGTGGTGCCACCACCATTCGCCCCCTGAGCGTGATGTGTGGGAATGTTTGAGAGTTGGTTTCCGTGCACGGTAAATAAATATGTAGCCTAATATTTAACTCTTACATTTTTCATCTTATTATTTTCGTAAGTGTATAATTTAATATAGAGATTAGTTCTTTATTTCTCTCCCAAGCTGTCTTAAAAGAAACAAATGATCAAGTTCAAAAGTAACTGACGCCCATTGAAGTTTATTAGCTTAATAGATATTATTGAAAAATATCTTGAATTATGATATACCATTTTTTCTTCCTGTGTCTCTTGCAGTTGTTGCCATTGCACCAAGATCGTCGACTGCAAATTGCAGTTTGTGTTTTCATCTGACGTCAATACAGGAACCTTACGGCTGCTGCAGGAAATTCTGTGTATCTATCGCAGCAAAAGAAAAACAAGTTCGGCCAGCGCTCTCTTATACGACCTGAAGTCCGATGATGTACATAACCCGTATGTACCACTCCAAGTGTAAGCCGATCTCGAGACCTCAAGTTCCCCGTCCACCCAAACTTCTACGCCTTCATCTCGGACTTATGTTTTGGGCTCGAGTTTCGCTCGGTCTCATTATGTGCGCCAGTTTTTTTTGGGCGCCAACTCTGGAGTTGTCCGATCGAGAGAGTGGAGTGTGTATACCCAAACACAAAAGTCGCTGATAAAGTTCTCAGGCCTCACGTTGGCTCACATTTTGTTGGATAATCCGACTCGGACCCCGAAGCTAACAAATTCCAGCGAACTATAAAAAACTCTAAGCAGACTCACTGACTGACTGACCACAGCTTCCGTTCCCCCATCATTGCTTTGGATTTGAATTGGGTGCCTTACTTTGGTACCGAAAAGAAATGGTACTTTCGTTTTAAGCAAACGATTGTGTGATTTCAGTAAACTAAATTTATTGTAGTTAATAAAAGGGTAATTGTAATTGGGAATTTGAAAAGAAATTATTATTTATTATTTATGTAAAACTACTTTATTGTGGTAAAGTAAAGGTATGTTTTATTGGGAATATAAAATTAATCAATATTTGTATTAGATGAACTTTAAAAACCTTAGCATTCGTTATGAAATTAGGATAATTCATGGGAAACTGTGGCTTTAGGAAGCCTCTAAAACCCTTTAAATTACTTTTTCTGGCATAGAAAATAACTTCAGCAGAGTACCAAGACATTCGATCATCGAAGCTGTGACCCCAATTTCTTGTTTATGTTTACAATAAATGCGCGTCAGTTTTTGACTGCATTCGTGAGAGAGCATAGTAATCGTTATCGCTATCGCCGCTAAGCGAGGTCGTAACTCGTTTGAATAGGTTACGGAGTGACCTTAGTCGGCAGTCACGCAAGCACCCACTTACGGCCTTTGCGTACATGTAAATATCTCCCATGCAATGTAATGGGAAATCGATCCAAAGATGATTGCTGGCATTTCGGGGAGAGGCCCGAATTTTGTATGTAGGGCGGAGTAATCCTTTCTTCTGGGGAGTGAAAAGCGGCGAAAGGCAAACAACGACTTCATTTATCAATATTAACCATTTCGAGAAAAAGAAAAGTTGAGAGGGGAAATTCGAATAAATGATTGCCAAGAAGCGGAGGAAGTGAAGCGCAAAACGCAGTTGGCAAGCCATGGATCCGTATCCCTCTATGGGAATTGCAATTTCCTGGCCCCCAAACCACTAATAACCCTTGGTCTTCATCTTTGTCTTTGTCGTCATCGGTTACACATGTTTGCTGCTTCGTTATTTCGATTTGCACTAACCATCTGTCCCCTCATTCGAGCCTGAAAGTCTGAGGAAGATGTGGATACAAAGCCACAAAACCAATCAAGCTCCCTTTCCACTGCGAACTGCAATCCCCTCTCGAAAACCGATCCCTTCAATTCCCGCCTGGCATTTGCCGTTTGTTTTCTGTTTTCTGGCCCAGTTTAGTTGTTTGTTTTTCGGGCGAGAGTGTTTTTTCTGGCCTTTCAGATATTTCGTAATTGAATTGGGCCCGTAATGCTCGCACTCGCACTTATTTACACTTGCCAGTGTAATTGAAAATTTCATAAATTTTAATTAAATTCTAGCCTGCGGACTTTGGAGTATTTGATTGTTTTGTTCGATGTGTGTGCAATTTGTGATGGCTTTTCCCCCGTCAGCTGCAGTTGAATACTGTACGGTACCTATGTTTTAGTTACGTTTTATTTTTCCCCGAGGAGTAGTTCAGAATAGCAATGTTTGCCCCGATGGGTGACTCACCTCACTTGCGCAATCATTATACGACGTGCCCAGATCCGATTCTATAGTTCTGTACTGTGTGCAAGTCCTAGAGTCCTGGAGTCCTCCAATCCCCGAGTGACCAGCGGAATTGATTGCTCAAGTCGTAAAATCCGGGAGTTGTTTGCTGTTTGCTGTTTGCCTTTCTTTTTCGGCGTTTATTGGAGCCGTTGTTGTTGCAGGGCGCGTTTTACACTTTGTTTACAGGATAATCGCATACTTTATGACACTTTCTACTTGCGAGCATTCGAGTACACTGGGCGTATGCGTTTGACGGAGGACTTTGAAACCGTTGACTTTTACGTGGGGCTGCACAAAGGATTTTTATGTTATTTCTATTTGATTGAAGGAAATGGTGGGGTGAGGCGGAGAACAAAGGAAAATACATAAGACATAAGGCGTAAAATGAATGGCGATATGAGGACCGAACATAAACACACAGGCGCGGCTTTTATGCACGACAAATAAAATCAATACGGCATAAAAATAGGAATATTGTATGGGTGTTTCGCTTTTTGATGTGGTAATTGTCGCGTCTGGTCAACAAAAGGAAAGGGTCCTTTGGCTTTTATGATTTCACTGGTACACTCAAGCACACACACACACACACCTCTGAAACACGTGACGCATATTCGTTGGATCAAATGAGGGTTACGCCTTTGTTTCTCTGCCTACATTATATAATTGTCACTTGATGCTTTATTAGCATCCTCCTGCTGTTTTTCTTTGTGCGGGCAAAAATCACAGGTCGAAACTAAAGCTCTCAGCTGTGCGTCGCCGCCACACCAATTGCCGTTTTTTGAAAACTCCGACTGACGGGTCTGTCGAACGGCTCGCTGGAAAATCGCGACGGCTGCACAGAGCCAAAAAACAGAAACAGAGAGAACCAGTTTTCCAAGGCAGCAGGGAAAAACTGCTGAGCAGGAAAATAAGGGGTTTACTTTTTGGCAGTTTCTCATTTAGGTCGAAAAGTTTTAATTTTTTACTGCAAACCCCAAGCTGGCATTTAAGTAAAATTAAATAAAACTATAAAATCATAATTGATTTTTCATTTCATCTTACGCATGAATTATCAAATATCCTTTTGGTTTTTTTTTAATACAACAAATTCTTTGTTTTTCGAAAGATTTCAGAATTCTCAAAAAGATTTTATTTCTGGATAGATACTTGGAATAAATTATATTAAATTGCGTCTTTGAGATATTATTGGAACTTATTTAATTTAAAATTGACCTCTTAATTTTTGCCCTTTTAAGTAAACAGCTGATGCGTAACGGTTATCTTTTTGGCCAAAAGTCCCCAATAACGGGAACTGCTCACTTGCGCAACTGTCCTGGCCCCAAAAACCCCATCTCCTCGAGAACTTCCAGCCAGTTCAACTTTACAGAACGACTCTTATAACTCGCTGCCTCTCTTTGCGATCCTTTGGGAAACTGGAATTTTTCTTGCAGCGCTGTTTTTCTTTGGTTTTTCTGCTTTTTTCTCCCCATTTTCAAGTTTTGCACCCGCGCGGGTGTGGTCCTGTTTTCCGATTCTGGCCAAAGGAGCGTGAAAAGTGCCGAAAACGCGAGCGAATTTCCACTTGTACACAAACACACGCACACGAAGAAATGGGAGAGCGTTTTCCCACCACCACCACCCCTTTTTCCGGTGGTGATTTGACGTTCCGCTTGATTGCCGCCCGCTTTTTGTTTTTCTTTTTTCACTCATGATTTTCCATTAATTTCGTATCCATAATTTGTACAATTTTCCTAAACACACACACACAGAGCCAAAGGCGAGAGCGAGACAGCACTTACAGCCACTAAACGCTGCGGTTGAAATGAGACTTTTGAGATTGCCTATGGAGTTTACGGATTGCGTCCGCGTTCACGTGCGCCGTGGTAGAACAACAATTGAGTACTGAATCTGCGTCAGGAGTGCGCCACTTGCCACTCGAAAAAAGAGGCAGTATTACCAGCAAGAGCGTGAGAGAGACAAGCTGTTCCAGGGCGAAAGAGAGGGCATGTGCGCAGCATATTCTCTTATACTTCTCTGATGCTGGCCAAATCGGGTTCGGTTTCCGATTCCGATTCCGATTCGGACCGAGGGAATAATGCCAGCGAACCTGTCCTAACCCTTTGACATCGCTTTCCGCCGAACAACAGAGAACCCGAGAACTCAGGGGAGAGCTCAAAAAAAATAGTTCAAATTACGGGGAAAAATAAAATTACCATTTGAAAAAAAAATAGTTTTACTTTAACTATAAACAATTTGTAATTTTGTTTGTAGGCGACCTTTGATGTATGTTTTAATTTGAATATGTGTGATATAAAATATATGGCAATTTAAAATAAAATTAATATTATTACAATTAAAATGGAAGTTTTAAAATTATATTGTTGTTTAGAGCTATAAGATTACTGTCACTAAGGTAATTATTTTCAAGGAACAAAAAACTTATGGGAAAAAATTCACAATCAAAAATACACATTTTTTCAAAAGTAATTGATTTTTTTTGTAGTTTAAGGACTAAGCTCATTGGTCAATCTTTTTTTTTGTGTGTGGGAAGCCCTCGGCTTCATTGAATAATTATCTCGAGTTTACCTGTTCTCGGCTCTGTCGGGCCCTTCGCTTGTGACCCAAAAACCAGTTTCACAGCAAACTCCCAACGCAACTCGTTTGGCGCTCAGAAAACGCGGAAAGCGCCTGCGCGGCCCGCTCAAAAAGCCAAAACTGAAGCCATGTGGAAATGTGTTAAGTGCCAAACACCCAAAACATTTGTGTTTGAGTAGCCATAGAACCGTAACCTCTGCCAAGGGGCACATAATTGGATAATTCGAGCGAACCCCCTTCTTAAATGGCTTTTTAATTATGCCTGGGAATGCGATGGACCATGCCTTGTGATCTACGGTAGAACCACAATCTACCTGCATTTGAGAGAATGCATCATGATGGTCCATTTGCATCGCCACTTTTGGCCAGTCATAAAGTTCTCACGGTTCTCGCAAGCCTGACCTACGTTGTAATGCTTTAATTAGCCAACATCTGCTGCTGCTGTGGCCGAGAAAACCCAGTTTCCCCGTGTTTGACTGCCAAATATTTCCCTTTTGCAGACGGTGCGAGAGAGGAAAACTCCGCGACTGGAAGGTGGAAAATCAAAGCGCCTGCGCTTATCTGCAAAAGGGATTCGTGGAGAGCAAAGTAGAGAGACGCCCTCAATATGCTAGCTTCTCTCTCGCTGTATTGCCACCCCACATCCAAACCACCCACTCAAACACCCACTTTCCCACCCAACGAATTTGCCAAAATGTTTCGTTTTCGCTGAATTTCACTTGGCTGGCAGGGCCTCAGCAGGACCTCCTTCTAGTGCACTGGCATATTCCGAATATACGTTGACTTAAGCACTCTGATTTATGCATTATATTAGCGTTGATTTTTAGCTGCAATAAATCTGCAAATACTCGGGGCCTACATGCCATAAACTCATGCATGCCATCCCGTAATCATAATTCACCCGGTCCGTTAATAGGTGTATGGATAATAATGGCAGCCCGCGCCTTGAATGCAGTCACTAATTTGTGACTTCAGACAGGTGAATGCCTCCTAGAGTGTTTTGTTCGTCGACAAGTCGTCGCTTTGCGGCTGTCAAGTGCGATTCGCTGAAGGATTGAGGGCGTTGAGCTGCCATATGTTGGCCCGAACTCGATTCTACCTGAGCCCTGAGCCCTGAGCAGCTGTCACAACTCAGTCAACTAATTGCCCATTTCATAATTGCCGAAATCTCGATTTGTTTGCGAGCCCAGCGGGTTAGTGAAACAATCTGTTCTGGTTCTCTAGAGAGTAACCGGAACGTATCCTTGAAAAATTAATAAACTAGAATAATAAACTTATACACCAAAAACAAAGTAATTTAGTAGATAATTTCGGATAAAAATAATAATTTAAAAAATGACTTATTACTTTGATTCTCCATAATTTTGTCTAAGTAATAAGCAACCCATTCTTATCTGTAAAAATTGAGAAATACAAATTAAACATGCGCATAGTCTAAGGATCAAGCAAACAGATTAAAAATTATAGTTGAAAAAAACCCATTCTTATCTGTAAAATTTGCGTGTAGAAAAATTATATTACTAATTAAACACAAGACAATCTTGGATGGCTTTGAGCCATTCTGGTCAATGATGTTCAAGACAGCGAGCTTTATCAGTTGTTGGGTATTAAACATCGAAAGACAATGCGCATAGTAAAAAGTCCAAGCGAACAGATTAAAAAGTATAGTTAAAGGAATAATAAATAGTTGGCGTCTTTTAGGCTTATGTAAAACCGTATAATATTTTAAAAGTTATACCAATCCCTTTTTCTTTTGGGTTTTCTCTTACCGTGGATAGCCAAGGACACTGAAGTCCTTGAAATATTGTCTCTGATCCAGCATCCCATTGGCTGGGCTCCCCTTGAATCTCATAATTTGCCCGGCTCGTGTCGCTGCAAGGTGTTCATGCGGCCATAAAAACAATAAAATATTTAACACAAATTTTAACTTAATGCTCGGGTCGTAAAAATGTATGAGTGTAAAAATGCTTACCTATGGCCTTGCAGGGGGCGGAGGGGGAGGAGGGGGCGGAGGAGGAGGCGGGTCCATCCGAATGCCGCCTCATTAAACCAGAAATTACACAAAGGATAACGCGCAGCTCGACGGCGATGGCCGCAAAGTGTTTGTGTTTGTGTTTGTATTTGCCACTGTGTGTGTGTCTCCTGTTTGTGTGATCAACCCACCACCCACCCCATCACCCCTTTTCGGGATGCTTCTTTTGGCTTACGGCAGGCATACAAATAAAAAATTATCGCCCAAGTCCAGGACGAGTCGGTCCTGCGTTGCCATTATATTTTATTTTTACAATTTTTCGTCACTTTTGATGCCGACCAGAGGCTGTCCTTATTTTCTGTATTTGCCAGCTTCCATATTCCTCACCCGATTTAGGCTTCGGAAAAGAGATGTACACTGGAAATGAAATCGGGTGATATCAGTTTTATTCAAAGAATTGATGAGTCAAATTCAAAAATATCAAAACAAGAAGGCAAACCAATTTCGGCAAGCCGAGTATTTCATATTTCGATGAGCATGAAGCTAGGTCCCTGGTAAATAAGAGCCAGGTTTTATACACAATGGGTTTTTGACTTTTCACAATTATTATCACAATTTTTTTCTCTGTATACCTATCCATGGACCATGATGGGGCACATTGTCTTTTGACGCTGCCAGCGTTTAACGTTCGTTTGCGGGTGTGGATGTATATCTTTGTCTTCCTGTTCGAGCTCCGGATGCTTCCTGCTTACTTCGCTTATGTGTACTTTTTACCGACGCTGATTTTTATTCCTCTGCAGGATGTGATATTTCATTCAGGGCCGCTAACAGAGCAGCTAAATGCTCCCCTAGACATGAAGCAGATAATAATTTCTCATCTTTATGATGTTTTCACGCTCCGTTGTGCCCTGCTTAAGTCAAGAATACAGCGATTGTTGCTGCTGCCGGACCGCTGAAGGCGGAAAAAAATAAGGAAAGGGCATCTTTCACTTTTCACTTTCCGAGTCCCATTCCCACAATCGAATTGGGAATGTCCGGAAGCAGTGTGGCCATAATTGCGAGCCCGACTAGACGAAGACATTGTTTTCTGGGGCGATGACGAGGACGAAGATGCCGAAGACGGAGTGAATGATATCCCTAGTCCGGTGCCTTTCTCCACCAAACATTGTTTGCCACCCCAGCTCATCGTGGTCCATTGTGCCGGAGTAGTGGGTCAGCGGAGCTGGCTGGGATGTAATAATGAAATTTATGTCTGCATAACGCTGATTTATGTACGCTAATGAGCTTTTTAATTAGTTAATGCACGTGCGGAGGGATAGCGGGCGGTAATTTAAAGAATTAATTATGAAAAACTAGCCGCGCGAAATGAGACATTTTGCATTTAGCCCCGGAATCAGGCCAAATCTTAGACATCTGTATACCTGTGGGATTTCCGTACAGAATATTTTGTATATTTTGTGTGTCAGAAATGTTCGAGGACATAGCAAAGCAGAAATTGAAGGTCGATGGGGAGTACGCCAGTGCAGATCTCACTCTTGACTTGGCCCTGAAGCGCATCAAGGATCACCGTCACCAGGAGTCTCTATATTTCAAGCTTTATGGTCGCATTGAAGTACAGGAGTGGCTGCTGAAGGATCCTGCCCGAAATAAGGCGTATCGCGAGGCTATACTCTGCAACGAGTCCTTCAAAAACAAGGTGGGTAGAGTAGAGTTTCTAAAACAAAGAGCTTTTTCAAAGATATCCTCGAACCCAAAAAAAAGACTGTTCTCGACGTGGGTTGTGGAATGGGCATCCTTTCCCTGTTTGCAGCCAAAGCGGGTGCCAAAAGGGTCCTGGCTGTGGATGCTTCCAGCACTACGGACTTTGCCCACCGGATTGTGCAGGACAATGGATATGGCGATGTTATAATGGTGATACGGGGAAAGGTGGAGGACATAGAGCTGCCTGCCGACATGCACAAAGTGGACATCATTGTGTGCGACTGGATGGGGTATGTTTAACATTAAAAACTAATGGTCATGTTTAATATTTATATAGATTTAATGCTTGAATTTGTTATATATAATTCTATTTGAAAACCTCTTTTCGCTGATTAATTTTTCCGTGGATAACCTTTAACATGAGACCATTTTGCCACAGTTATTGCCTGTTTTCTGAAAATATGCTGGACTCGTTGATTTTTGCGCGGGACAAGTGGTTGGTCGCCGGGGGCCACATTTTTCCGGACTCGGCGCAGCTCTTTTTGGCGGCCATCAAGGGGCGGGACCAGGACCTCGGCTTCTGGCACGATGTCCATGGCTTCGACCTGTCGGCCATCCGGCGGAGATGCGAATCGAAGGCGGTGGTGGAGCACGTAACCGCCGGTCAGGTGATGAGCAAGGTGTGTCTGGTCAAATCGCTGGACCTTTACAACGTGCGCCGAAATTCCAGCGACTTTCGATCCTCTTACGAGCTAAAGGTCATCCGAAATGGCTGGGTTCATGCCCTGGTGGCCTACTTCGATGTGGGATTCAGCAAGAGTCCGCAAAGGATCAGCTTTAGTACATCGCCCAGTGCACCCTGGACACATTGGAACCAAACGGTTTTTTATCTGGAAACTCCACTTTCTGTGAAATCAGGCGAGTCAATCAAGGGCGTGTTTAGCATAAGACCCAGCGTGGATAGCATCTTCGACCTGGAGTTCGACATCTATGTGGATTTCCAGAGCAGCGGAAAATCGGTGACAAGCCAACAATCCTTTGTCCTGACCAACCCACTTATACTGGGCGCACTCTAGAAAGGAGAACCCACCAAGTATGCCACACAAAATATCATTGGATCACAATAAAATGAACGAGCAGTAAAATAAAGTAAAAGCGAGCCACATTGCCAGTGTGCAATATTTATATAATTTTATTGTGTGTAGGCATACATAAAAACATCTCTATGCTTGCATTCAGTCGCAAACATGTGCGAATAACTCGGGAATGGGCTTCGGTCATAGCAACTTACTCTCACTCTAGACTTAGAAAAATATCAAAAATACCTAAAGAGTTTTCATTAATTTTCTTTGCATTTTTCAGTGCACCAATATGTGTTCGTTCGAATATTATATATGCATATAACATTTCAAAACCTAGAGGGCATCCCGGAGTTTATAATGCACTGCCACTTGAGCTTGTTTTCCATGCACACCTAGTGCACACAGTTTGGTAAATGGTGTAAATAAGTGCAGAGGCAGCATTTAATTATTAAAAACAATTTTCCGATGTATGTACAGCTTTGTGTGTGCGATGTGGGCGAATCTAGTGCGCATTGCTTTTAATTTATGCGCCATGTTTTTTTATTTTTCATATATTTTTTTGCAGCTCTCCATTTTTCATTTTTTCACCGCTGTTTATTTATGCCGGTCAGTTGAAGCCATAAACTAGCGCATTAAGCGAATGCATAATATTGTTTGCCATAACAGTTGACAAAATATTTCAGTTAAATAGCGCAGGTCCTGCGGCGTGATAAATGCTCTTTAAATAGAAATTACATTTCCCAGGAAAGATTCTATGGCATCAGATCACTCCTCGCGGACTTTTCAATCAAATTATAAGCTGTTTGGCTTTTGCTTTGGCCCAGTTCCCCAGTTCTCGCCACATTCCACTCGCAAATTGGCCCGCAGAGGAGGAGTTCCTCCTGTAAACCGTTGACGGTTATGCAAATGTTAGGTAAATGCGCATAATAATAATTTCAAATAAATTTAATGTTCTTCGCACACACACTTTTGCTCCCAGGCTGCATGGCCTAAAGTTTGCTTAGCACAAGGTATCCATCCGTATCTGTGTGCGTCCTCGTCCTCGTCCTTCGTCCTTGTGTGTGCGTGTGTGTTTGTAAATGGCGAACGAAACCGTTAGACATGCGGCGCCATCGCCCAAGCTGAAATGTGTGTGTGTGTGTGAGGGTGTGTGGGTGCGGGCCACTGTGCATGTGAGTTTGTTTGCATAATGTGCAACATTTTATGTTTTTATTACAGCCCAACGCCAGACAGTGACTGCTAGGCGTGTCTAATGGCTCTGTGGATACACCAAGAGAAAACCAAACATTAAATGTAAAATCATTTAAGCATTTATATGTGTTTCTTATGCAAGCAAATTTAAAATCAAACAGAAAAGTATTTGGTTCACAAAAGATAGAGATATAAGCTAAGTATCCGGCATTATCAAATATTTAAGGTCATGGAAAATTAATGCTTAAGATAACTTTGAAAAGAACTGTCAATAATTCGTTGGCTTACAAAGCCAAAAGAACTTAAATCGTTTCTTTTATTTTTCTAAAACTATTTTTTCCGAATGCATAAGCTTAGGCTTTTTGCCTCTTTTTTTTGCACCCCTTTTTGCCTTTTGCCTTTTACCTGGTCGCTGCTAAAATGATGTACGAACTATTTGCGCTATAAATATAATAGTTCTAATTTCGTACTAATGCATAGTAATCCGCAAGCTCAGAGCAGTCGGTTGAGGTCACCAAAACGAGGGTGTGTCTGTTGCGAGTCCTGATTTATCGCGTTGGCCAAGAAAAAACAAGCCTGCAGTTGCAGGCAGCCAAACAAATCATTTTTGAAAGGATACAAAGGCAGACAATGGTCTATCAGGAAGGCCAGGATGCGAGCGCGGACTTGGAAGGCTGGCGATGACAATTGGCAGCTCCAGCAGAGTGCAGACTCAGCTCCGATAAAATAATAAACTGGAAGGCTGGAGGACATGCAAAGCGGCTGCACGAAATTTACGACCGCCGAGCGAAAGCGGCGGAACCGGAAACGGCAGTGCATTGACCACACATCCTCCTCGCAGGACTCTCTCTCTCGGTTCTGCCAAAAATTCCGAGCGACATTGACGTACTCACAAAGCTTTTCCAGCCCTGATTTAGTGGCATATAATGAGCTGCCTAGGAGGGTGGCAGGGTGGCGGGGGAGGGGCATAAATCATGCAGCATTAACAGCTGCTTGGCCACATCAAATCCGAGTTAAGTTTTCCGCGCAACCGGGTGCTGTGGAGTGGAATCCGGAAGAAGATCCGTATCCGGATCCGGAGCGCTTTGCTGGGTGCCTGGGTGCCAACGAAACAATGCTCGAGCTTGGCCCATAAAACAAATCGCTTTGGAATTGCAGTTTAAATATTTCTGCACAATTTTTCACTGGCCCCCAGTCAAAGTGGCCGTCTCTCTCTCCCACACAAACTCACATGTTGTACGGTCCTTGCATTATTTAACTTTTGCCAGCAAAAGGATACGAAGTTCCCGAAGGATGATGCTGAAATAATTTGCAGTTTGCAAACCCAAAATTTATGACTTTGGCAGTTGATTTCTTAGCCGTTTGAGTGATTGCACAGGGAGCAGGACGATGAGGAGGAGTCCTGGTCCTTGTCGACTGGCCACAATATAACCACTGCATGCCCAACCCAGATGCCCACACTCGCATTTGTGTATTCTGCAATATCTTCGCTTTGTGAACACGCATTGGGCAGGAAAATTGCTTCCTTTGGCCCTCGATGGCTCCGGTTCGAAATCTGGATATGTGTCTCTGAATGTGACCCCTGACCTGGCCCAGCAGGTCCTTTTACTTCAGCCTTAGCACACCGAACACTTCCGACCACTCTGCTGATTTCGATTTGCTTTGCACTTCTCTTGCCAATGTGTGCGAAATTAATTATACGAGTTGCCATTTAAACTAACTCAAGTGTTGAAAACTAATTAATTTGTTGGCTGGGGCACACAAAGTACAAGGCAGAGGGAAAATGTTTGTAAAGATTACAGCCTTGATGTTAGAGCTCCATTAAAGCATGTATAGAACTTATATTTTTAAGAAAATGTTCTAATTAAGTTTTCTTCTAAAATATAGTTTAAGCACTGGTTCGAAATGACAGACATGCTGATCAAGAAATATATATATTTTTTAGTTCCCGAAATGTCTCCTTTTCTTCGTTACAAACTTCTGACCCTCTGAAACTGTATAATAAATAGGAGAAATAATTGAATTATTTGTATTTCATTAATTTACTTAACCAAGTGTAATTCATTGCTTGCAAGACTACAGTTTTCACAGAAGTAATGGATACATCCAATCGGGTTTAAAAAAAAATACAGTTTTCTGCTCCAACAACTTGCTTTGAAGCCAGTAAAGGTGGCCGGGCTTTAAGCATGGATAAATCATTCGAGGGAAATGCCTTAATAGATGACAAAGAAAACTTTCGCTCCCTTTTGAAGTCGCCTCGAACGGCGAAAGGAGGCCCATCTTTACATGCTGCCACAAACAATATATGCAGGCAGCCATGGCATTTAACGAGTTTCCCTTTGGTGCTAACCCAGGATTCGTTTTCGTTGTGTGTTCTTGTTGTCGCTCGTAAATGCTCCGGAGAAGCCTTTGAATTGAACAATTTAAGGCCCTGTCTCGGCTGTGTATGTGTGTGTCGTTGGGTGTGTGTGTGTGTGTATTGCCTGTTATGCGGTGGCCATTATAGCTGCCGCAGTGGCTTTCGAATGGAAAATGTCCTTTGTTGTTATTTTTTTAGCGCTCCGGGTTATGAAAACTAAAACATGCATACATATATGAAGCGAGAGAGGGCAGCACTTTGCGGTAAACTACACACTTGGCACTTGACACCTGCAAAGGCAGCGTAGACACGACACGCATACGCCACGTTGTCCCCAAATTGCCCTAAAAGCGTAAAACAGCTAAAAACATCTAGTAACGACAGCGCCCAGGAAGTCTCAGATGCGTCTGCCAAACCCCCCCGTTTGGACCCATTTTTCCAAGCCACGGCCCATTGTTTATTAGCACTGCTGGCTTTTCCCCACAGCCAGCTAAAGGCACAAAGCGAACAATATCACTGTGTTGTTTGTGGGCTTCCATTGTGTCGCTTCTGTGAGTGCACAGAAAAAATTAATATTATGTAAAGAATAATTTGATTATAATAGTTGAGTATCATGGGTACAACCAAAACTTCTAATAGCAGCATTTGTTAAAAAGAATGTTCAGCATCGGTCTTCGAACCTGGACATTTTTAACTAAAATCTTTGGATATGCTACAACTTTACCTTATTTGATAGTATCCTGTTTTTCTCTGTGTAAAATTCTCCTGTGCTCCAAGCTCCATTCCGCATGCGGCTGTTGTCGCCTTTAGGTCACCGTGTCAGCTCCGCTGCAGCACCAGTGGAACAGAACAGAGCTTCGAGGCTGGTCTTCTGGCCAAGCGAACGGCCTTAACCCGACTATCCCTATCCCTATCCCACTCCCAGATCCCAGATCCCTGCCCTGACTTGGCCTGACCCAGCAATCTGCAACGCGATTCCTACTTACCCATGGGCTCGTTCGTGTGCCGTAGATACTTTTTATTATGCTGCTGCAACTGCTGCGGATTTTGGTGCAGCGAAAACGGGCAATTAAGGCAGCTGACAATTAATGTTGGGCGCCTTTTGTTATGCCCCTTTGCATGCAGCATTTCATATCGAAGTGGGGAGATCGGCGAGGCAGGTTAAGACTTTAAGGAAAATAATACAATTGCTAGCAGATAAATCTATATCTATGTGTAAATCCATTTATGCCTTACATAAATATAAGATTAGATGAGATTTAAATCTAAACACTTCTAAAATTTAACTTATGTAAAGTATGGTAAGCTTGTGCTTTTTAATTGTCTGACTTTCTGAGCTAAGTCACTTGGTTGTGTGAACCAAAGCCATGGAGTGTGTCGGCAATGGCTTTCCACTTTTAATTGAAGTGAGAAACTCAGTTGGCCCTTGCTCAATACACCGTCTCCGATATGCAAACAATGTATTCATAACGAGCGTCCAAGCACAACAGGTCAACGCAAATAGTTAAGGTAAACACGCTCG